ATGCGGAGCTTATAGAGCTCAATGTCCCAACCAAATTGTCTGGGGAACTTGAAGAGGCCTCATCCTTCAAAATCAAGTGTCAACCCTTGCGTGCGACTTTCACTCCAGCTACTGCGTTAGAAGGCCAGGACAAACGTCTTCTCGGATTACTCAAGCTGGTCGATCATAGAGATAAACCTCTAAAGATATGGTCGCCCAGCATGGTAATAGAGCCCGAAATAAGATTCAACATGGACGAGAGCATCCGCGAACCACAGCATGGCTACGTAGTTGTGATTCAACATTGTATTCACGAAGAAAAGGCTGAGCGGCTCCATGATGAAAATTCCAAAGATTCTCAAGACTCTGAAGATTCTGATGATGGCAACGGGTGGGCCGGTGTTACTTTTGACGGTTTTGCCTTAAGCGGTAGTGATTGTCTTGAGGCACTTTTCCTGCGAATGCACGATACGAACGGAGAGACATTCCAAAGGATGGGGCTTCTCCATGCCAACAGGTCTCGAGCGGTCAGCAAAATCCTCAACGCGCATCGCATGGCGGAGAAGAAGGTCATCACGCTTGTCTGACCAGAACTGTGCGTCACGAACAACAACGCCACAATGAATAGCTACATCCATCCCTCACCCTGTAGCCCCCGGTCTACATACTACCAAACCGACTCCTACCATAAGCCTTAGCCTAAGTTAATATGCCGGCTAAGTGGACGACAAGACGGTTCCTAACACTACGCCTAACAATGTATACCACACCTAGGTAAGGATAGAAATCTTATATCCTAGTAATGACTGTACTTATATTTATAGTATGAAAGAACAAGACAATGCAGAACAATAAAAATTGTCCTAATTGTGCTCCTGAATGTGGCTAAAGTTACTTTTAACTTTGTAACCTTACAGACCTCTAAGAAGGTAAGAACGTAATTCCTATGAAGCTTTACCTCGTCCTACTTAATGAGTCATTGCCTAGCTCCTCAATGACTATAAAGATGGCTAAGCTTTGTTCTACACCAAATCAACATCACTATTCCATAGTAGTTTTTCCTATAGGCAGTAGACTAAGCGATCTGATGTGTACCGTATCATATCGATGAACCCTCTTCTGCTTCTTCTTCATCGATTGCTAATATTTCTTACGCTCAGTTTTCTCCCTCTTACAAAGCCAATCTGTACAGCGGGCTACAATCACCAAGCTTACCCAGTTCTCCATCAGTGTATTGAGCCTTTATCTCATCTTCTTCCATAGCTTCCATCTTTTCGTTGATCCGCATGTACGAAAACTCCAGTACCAACACCACGATGATGCCCACCACCGCAAATGCTAAAGAGGAGCCGAGTCCTGTAGGATACCCGGGGGCTTCGCCATCGATGAAAACATAGCTTGCAAAGATTCCGCCAACGTTGGGCAAGGAAGTCACGTACGCGATTCCAAGCGCTCGTTTATTCGGATTGGCGAGGTTATTGCTGATCCAGAATGTCGCTCCGGGGCTGATTGGGTAGAATCCAATGTTGGCGAGAACGACTGCGAAGAAGCACGTGCCTATGTTGCTGGACATGCGAGGAGCGAGCGGGGTCAGAATAGCGTACGATATGACGATCAAGGTCTGCGGTATGATGAGGAAGTATGCCCGTCTTTTGAACTTGTCAGACAGACGCCCGAAGCAGTACGCACTGATCGCGCCGGCAATTCACGGCGGTGCAGCGAGCAGCTGCGCATCGCTATTCTTGAACCCCATGTTCTTGGTGATTTGCGGCATGGTGAACTTCATGCTGTAGATGGGTACCGTGTCGGACCAGTACACAAACATCACGGGGTAAAACTGCCAGTCGCTAACGATGGTCCATAGCAGCGAGAACGTGCATCGCCGGACTTCTGGTCAGCGACGCAGCAGGCAGTCCTTAGAGGGTTATATCGATCTCGAATGTCGCAAGCCATTGTTTTGGTGGGCGTATAACGTTGATAAGTATTTGAGTGCTATCATGGGACGTCCTAGTGTGTTTCATGACGAGGATCTCGACCAAGTAAGTCGACTCTGTACAAATTGAGACTGATTGGGAAACTCACAAAGAGAAGGAAAGCCCGGCTGTTGTGGAAGATGCAGATATTACGCCCAGTAGGATAGATTTCGATGGACGTACCTCGTACTACAGGATGATTGGACCAGATAGAAATGTCAAGTAAGCTGTTGCGACCCTGCTCACATAATATTTGATTGATTCGAGAATAGGTTTGGTCGTATCTTGAGTCTAATACTGCGTCAATTATACGGCATCACTCCCCTCTTTCGAGATTTGAAATATACGTTGATGACGAAGCTTGGTGAGGAAGTGCAGGAGTGGAGAGATAATATGCCCCATTTTCTCAACCCGGGCACAGTGGACTCCCGTGTCTTGACACCGCTTTTCCCTCGACAAAGTAATCTGCTCAGTATGGCTTACTCCCACGTTATGATTCTAATTTTTCGCTCTTGCCTTTTTGAGCGTGGGAGCGATGTATCCCCTTCTACGAAAGAGAACGTCGAGCGCTGTCGATCGGCTGCCTTGCTCATCGTCGACACTGTTGATAAAATGGTAGAAGCAAATCAACTCTATGCTGGGTCCTGGGTATGTCATTACGCTCCTACTTTAATTTCGAAAAGTGTCGGAATACCTGACATCAACTAGTTTACCCATAATACGCTTTCTGCGCCATAATAATCCTCTACACATATACGTTGCGCTATCGAATGCAGCACCCGCAGACCTGGATTTCCACCTTTTGTGCTGCAGAACGGTGTCAAGGCTGGATCAGTGCTGTCGGGGGCCCAAACACGCTGGCCTTTCGTTTTTGCCTGATCACGGAAGAATATCGACTTGAGGTATTACGACAATTGCAAAGCCATAGTCCATACTCAGAAGTTCTTGCATCCAAGAATCTTTGTATACAGGACGTACCACACAATGCTAAGGCTCTCGCATCCGATGCACCAGATGCATAGAAAGACATTATGGGGTCGTATGCAGGTCCAGAGAATGATGCAGCAAGCCTATCAGTAGACATGAGTGACTTTGAACAAATATATTCTCTGGTAAGGAAGCTGTACTGCAATCTGGTGAGACTTACTAGACCTAACCCATCACAGACATTCGATTCTACGTGAGCTAAATGCGTTAAATCAATATTACTAGCTAACATCAAATTTGAAGCTGATCCGTTCTGCATAAGAGCGCAATTTGATAAGATCCACTGATGAGAGAACTCATACATTCCTGTGATCTGATCGTAAGCTCCGGGGGTGTCTTATATCATACTATACGCGACTATCCTACTATCGGCTAAGATCAACTAGGATTTAATGAAAGAACCTATCATTCGATGTAAAGTCTTAGTACCATCACGTGCAACTAACGGCTCGGGCCCGAGAATTGCATAAAAAACCCCGCTTGACAGTGTCACTATCTAAATCACCAACGTGAGCGTCGCAATCTCAAAATTGTATCTCCTCAGAAGGCTTCTACGAATAGAAGATGTCGTGTCCAGATTGTTTTCGGGGCGGCAAAGCCGTCGGCGACCCAAAAGGCACCATCCAAACTATTTACGGCACCCCTACCTATGTTGCTGAGCCACCATCGACATCTGCCTCTCGCTCGACTATCATCATCTATACCGACGGCTTCGGCCTCGGAATAGTTAACAGTAAAGTCCTGGCTGATGCATATGCCTCCCTGACTGGCATGCGAGTTCTAGTGCCAGACATCATACCTGGCGGTCCCATGCCGCATACCGTCATGGACACAATGGACACAATCATGGAGCCCGTTGCACTGCTCAACATCATTGGACAGATCAAAAAGGGTCATCGCAGTGGTCAGCACACTGTCGCACTTCATACCCTTTATGTACCGCGCTCGGCCCTCCTCCGCATCAAGCTTTGAACCGTGTCTCGCGTACGCGCGAAAAGTGAAGGCTGATCTACCTGCTGGAGGTAAATTGGGTCTTGCAGGGTTCTGCTGGGGAGGATTTCTAAGCATCAATCTATCTACAAAAGCGGCTGTGGAAGGCGGAGAGGAGCGCCTCGTCGATGCAGCGTTCGCTGCGCATCCATCCTCCTTGAGTTTACCTGATAACATTGTCGACGCGGTGAAATTTAAGACGCCGCTAGCAATTGCGCATGCAGAAAAAGATGTGGCGCTGTCCACGCTGAAGATGGAAGAGACAGAGGCGGTGCTCAAGCAGAGGGTAGGTGATGGTCATGGAGAAGGAGAGCACAACTATCAGATCAAGATATACAAGGGTGTAGGACACGGGTTCGCGGTCAGGGCAAAGCCAGGTAGTGAGATCGAGGCAAAATCAGCAGACGAGGCAAAGGAGCAGGCAGCGGAGTGGTTCAAGAGATGGCTTTGAGTCGCAATTTGTGTGTACATGCTCATGAGGCCTTCTTAGGTTAAGATATAGCTTGAGAGAGCTAGTCGGCTAGGTGGTAACATTAGCATTGAATTTACATACTCTCTTAGGCATCGAAAATCCAAGATTAAAATAAACTCGACAATGTACTAATGAATGATTTTACAGCTACCGCAGTCGTTCTCTAAGGATGAGGGTTATTAAAAAGTTCTCTTGCAGTGAGTTGAGATGAAAGGCGTGCCCATGATCCTGATAAGCTTTCCGTAAATCCAGAGTACGAAGAATCATATCAGATAGCGTAAACGGTGTAGTGATTTTTACAATCCAGAGCTTCATCGGGATCAGCGGGTCCATCTTATCGTGTAGATGAACCATTTCTACTCCAATATTTCAAAAGCCATATAAGTAAAATGTGAAGTTCACTATCGCTCGTGTATTTAGAACCAGAATGTTTCGCAAGTCCACTCCATTCAGTTTGACTTCATGCAGCATACACCTGCCCAAAAACATTGAGACCCATGTATCATCACCCGCAAGCCCCAGACCTTCACGCGGACCTCAAATACCACTTCAGCACCACCCACAATGCCTTACAGAACAGCAAAAAACAAAAAAATGGATGCATCGGCCGGGAATCGAACCCGGGGCTAGCCGACAGCGAGCAACCTTCAACGAAAGCTGCATTTGGCAACGGCTAATTTTACCACTAAACCACCGATGCGTTTATCGCCATTCGTTTCCAGGATTTTGATGAACGATTTTTGACTACCGGAATATAAGTAGCAGGCCCTCGAGAGCTATAGCCCGCTTTCAAAAAATCAAAAATGAATTGTTTTCATACTATCCCCACGATGTGGGTATCTAGAGGGGAAATGTGGTATTTGGCTTATCACATTTATCTTACAGAATAACAAAGCCTATCGGGTGTCGGTAGACTGACACGGTAGCCCTTCCGACGGATGCTTTGCCCGTAACGTTAACCCTGCCGCTAAGTCTCATCTTTTGTCTGCCAATCACGGCTCGGACTTAGGCACTCAATGACGCGCCTTGCTGATGCCAATGGCGCTTGATATGGGTGGCTGTTTCCGATTTTTCACTTGTGGGGACACGCGAAGCGTTGAGCGATTCTGAAGGACGAGAACTCGCTTTCCGATCTAGTCTTGCCATTTAGGTCTTTTTTTGGTCACGTGTCTGGAGCACCGGAGCTGGAGTGATTCTTAGCGTGTGGATTCAGACTTCCTGGCAATCACGTGACAGCTCAAATCCCGAGGTCCCTGGAAATCGAAGATCCAACGACGCTGAATTCTGTCTGTCACGTGAGTCATCACGCCGCGCCGGGGCCACAGCCTTACCTCCTACAGTGCCTGAGGATAAGCCCGGCCCTGGAATCCGGTGGCGTGTGCTGACATCTGAAATAGGCTTTAAGCGCTTTAATAAAAGCTCCCCAAGTGCCACTTATTGTCTTCACTCTCCCTATCGCATCACCTTCAATATAATGGTATCTTTTTCTAGCTATGCCCCGGAACTCATCGACTCCATTCTCCAGCACCTGTCGTTCCGCGACCTGCTCGCTGTGAGTATCGTAAGCAAGCGGCTACATGAACGCGTGACGCCGTTGCTCTATTCACAAATCGACATGACTGTACATCAAGATAACCCTCGCTGGATAATTCACCTTTGTCGAAGCATTTTCAATAGGCCTGAGCTGGCGGCACATGTCGACGCCGTGCGTTTGCGCGATAGCGAATATTTTAGTCGATGGGTACCTTTTTCTATGAACAAACCACCTGAAGCCTCTCCGCCGCGGCCAAACGATGAGGATGGAATGTCTAAATTTGTGCCCTTCATCTCGCGTTCTGGTCTTGCCTATGCCGACATCTGGACGGAAAAATTGCGTTCAGGCAACCTGAACGCTTTTGTCGCATTGTTTCTATCAAGACTGCCCAGAATTAAGAGCTTCCGCGTCGGAAATATGGTCGTATTACCAGACCACGAGAAAAAGCAACAAGGTAGAGATGCCCCAACGGAAGCGCGGGATATGGAGAATCAATTCCTTGGAAAAGTTTTCCAGTCTGCTGTTTTTGACTCATCGAATCACGGCATTTCTCGGTTCCGACATCTCCAACATATCTCCTATCCTTGGCTTCTGAGCCCATGGCCTGGGAAAAATCCGGATTTTTGCAAACCTATGGACATGATAGCTCTTCTAAGCCTTCCATCAGTGCGCAGTATCTCGGGCTGGTGCCTAAACCCCGAATCGCTCCCGTTCAGTTGGCCAACAGGCCCACCAGAGCTAGCTTACCTCACATCACTATCTCTAATACACGTCCGACACGACTTTCTTGGACAGATTCTTGAGAGAACTCGGGTTCTAAAAAAGCTACGCTGGGTCTGGAGCCACACACCTCATCTCGACCCACTAAACACTGATATACTAGATCTAGATAGACTTACTGGAGCATTGCTAGTAGTCCAGAACACCCTTGAGGATCTTGTTATCAGTATCGACGCGGGACCTACGTGGGATGATCCGGACTTTCAGGATATAGACATTTGCGGTTCTCTGAATGGTCTGCGTAACATGGTCAACATTAAGCGATTCAAAGTACCATTCGCACTGTTGCTTTCAGACGTATATAACCCGAGTGATTCGTATATAGGACGACTGGAGGACAGTATACCTCCTAATGTTGAGGTGGTGACATTTAGCGATGACTACACAGGTTTTAACCAGGGTTTCGGCAGTCGACTTCACGAATGGCCCAAGATTGCATCCTGGCTTTTGGAGACTGCATGGAAGACTACACCGTGTCTCAAGGAGGTCTGCATGTTTTTGAAACCATACTCCCCCAGAGGCCCATCTCATGAGCTTCATAAACTTGAGGAAATCTTCGAAGGAACAGATGTGTTATATAACATCAAACACGAGAGCAAGGATTCGCAGCGATGGGACTGGGACATATAGACTAGAAATAGGGTTAGAGGTACCCACTGGAAGATTGCTTAATTCACACTAATGTTTTTCTTCTTTTGTTGGATTATAGGAGGGCATTACATGATGTTTGGGCCGTAGACTGACGACACAGTCTAATATATATCAATCTTACCTATGGTGATTTGTGTCACTGGTCTATTATATGCTGTATTTGGTATTAATGATCGCTTATGAGATAATGGTTCTTAAATATCCAAGATATCTGATGTGTTAATGTCAGATAGCGCATAGATATCCATAGCGAACTGCAGTAGAGTAGCTAGATGAGCCGAGGGATAGGCAATCAACCTGCCAAGAAATAGCGCAGGGGCCTCTGGCGAGAACACCACAATGACAGAGCACCTCAACCCATCAGAACAATCATTATAAATTACTACGCGTAGGGGCCTCCACAATATACCATACTTGTAAACCCCATACTAGACGATATTCGCAACACCGTAATATCCGACAGTTAAACAGCCTATGTAGCTGACTTTCACTAAGCTTGAATCATATTCTGGCTCTAGAGTAAGATTCTTCTATGCATGTGTAATAATCGTTGCTGCTACGCGCGATTACTAATCTACTAAATCATCCCAAATTTACATCACATATAATCTTGAACTTGTTTAATAGGCTGGCACAAGCTCTATAAGTACAAGCTACAACCCGAATCATCTACTCAGAGAAGATAAAGTTCAGATTTAGAAGATAGCAATATAGTATATAAGAAAACCAGAAGCATTCGCATTGCTAATGAAACATTTAAACCAGATCTTAATACCTCCAAACCCTGGGCAACCATAATGTCCACATAATAATAGCCGATAGCATGCTTCTTCTTCACTGCGCTGGAAGTGCAAGAGACAATCGATCTAGTGGTGTCGTTACCCAGCCAGTTTTAGAGTACGTAACAGCCGCGTTTCCGTTGTCTGTCCAGGTCTTGGGGGGAATTTCTCTGTCGAGGAGCTTGCCCTCACCAATTAATTTTATGCAACCACCAGCCTGTAAATTTCCCAGTGAGTTACAATTCTTGTGGTAACGAGGCAATCAGAAAGGCCTTACCCTATCTCCTGGGTCACAGGGTGGAAAAACAATAAGTGATTCTTCTGGGCAGTCATAAAGGTTTGTTCGCTCTGCCTGGCTATCACCACATTTGATGGTAACGGTGGCTATATTTTGTGGACGGATAGGTTGTCCGGGATATAGATGTTGAAAGACATGCAAAGCGTTCATCTCGCCGCACTTGGCTTGTTTCGACTTCTCTTGTGGGTGGACGCAGGCCCTAACTAGTTCGTCTATGCCGTTTTCTCGAGTGTACGTAAGACTTAGTCCTCCTTTTTGCGAGCTAGCCAGAATGATTTGATTGTTGAAGTAGAAAGCGGTTAATACCAGGGGCATTAACCCAGATTCAATATTGTATTGTCCACCCTGTGTGAGCATGTCCATGAATCCGTCCATGGCAATCTTAATGATTTGAAGGTCGGTCAATGGGCCTGGGACTTGATGATGTGCCATGAAAACGTATCGAGGTCCTAGAATGGAGGGAATAAGTCAGTAAACAGTTTTATAATCAGGTGGAAGGGCCCTCTCAGATGCCTTGGCTGCAAGATTTTGAACATTACAAAGATCTGCAGTGTAGAGAACACCGCTTTCCCCCCTAATATTGGCTTACCCTCTCTACCCGCACCCTTAGGCGTTCCCGCACGTTGTGGCTCAATTACGGCTACAGCCAGCGGTTGGTCGAGCTGAACGTTAACTCTATTCCGCGCTACTGGTAAGGGCTTGTACGTGGCCACGTCGGGGGCTGCTATAACGTGTTGGAAACAGAGAAAAATGTAAAAAAGCAAAGCGAAAATAGAGTGCATTTTCAAGTTTAGATAACGGTAGCCGGTACCGCGCGTACAAGAATGTGAAGTAGTTGGGTTGGATGACCATACCGACAGGAGTAATGGAGAGTCTTAATATACCATGCGTCTACTCAGGGTACTCTATCTGGAAGTCTTGACCAAGTCTTCAAACCTTCTGCAATCCGAGATCCGGACTTGTCTAACCCCTGTCCGGATGATGACGCCCCTGTGGCACGGTTTTCCACAAGCATAATCACTATCGAATCTACAACGTTCAGATTCTCTTTCTCCCAATTTCGCGAGAGTCTCAGCTTGACCTCGGGACTAAGAGAGACACGTGACCATTGTCAAGCGAGATCAAAGGTTATTGGCCTAATGGCTAAGCCGGTAAGCTTACGCACATATCCGACGGCACAGCACGGACTCAAAAGGGTAGCCCCATAATTAATTCAACGAGACAACTTCCGAGATACGGAATATTTACAAAGCACGGTTACATTGCGTTGAGACACGACGGTTCTTCTAGTTCGATACCTAATTTAAGCTCCTGGAACAAGGACGTGCGATGCTCGCTTCAAAGTCTACGTGGGAGTCTAATAGATTAGCATTCGGAAATGTTTCAAGAAAGTATGCGATAATATTCGGAGTCTGATGTAGCACTGAGTGGGAAACACGTGCTGCGGAGTAACATTATCAGTACCGCTAAATCAGATTGCAGCTAGTCATTTCTTGGAACTATATCAACAACGAAGTCTCTTCTACAAACTTTCTGTCTCGCACCGCTGTGAGGCTCGCTATATGGCCTTAAATTACCTTGTATTGGTTGATCGAGGCAATTCACGCTCACTGCCTATATTCTGTCCTTCGATTCTACATTCCTACGCAGCTTTCCTT